CAATGAAACAGTGAGGTTTGGCCTGCGGCGCTCTCAAGCCATTCACGGCTCAGCGTGAGTCCTCAAAGGAAAAGATCATTGGTCGGCAGATCCCAAGGCAGAGAAAAGTCAGGAGGCGACAAGGAAATCGCCTTTCGTCGAAACCAAAGTTGCTGAAGATCCAGCACCAGGCGCCGATCCAAAGAAAAGCGGCTGGGAAGCGCAGAGAAATCCGTAATCCGCGAAAGCATGTCTGCATCATCGTTGTATTCACCAGGAATATGCGACACATCCAGAGTCATAGATGAGTATGCGCTGAAAAGTGCCAAGCGCTGAGCGAAGATACATAAAGGAAATTTCCTGGTGTAGAGCTTGTTCGAGATACTCTCCGCTCCAGCATTATCACTCCAGGATTTGATGCGGACTCGAAGACGTCCGAAAGGAACCGCAGCCGAGACACAGTGTAGCAAAGCAATTTGGGCAAGCGTCTCCCAAGAAGCAATGTAAGACTGAGCATCGTTGCTCAAGTCCAATCCCGCGAAAGAGGAATCTGACATGACCCAGCTCTGAGAAAACCAAAGGTTGTGGCCGCTTGGAAGGTTAACATATCCTCCAATTGCAAAGCAATCGCCAGAAGCCATGGCATCTGCTGCTGCCTCAATAGGAGAGGCCAGGGGCACCTTTGCGATCCTGGCGAGTCCTAATGTCAACATGGCGAACAGAAAGAAGCTTGGATCCCAAAGGAATGGCAGTTCCCGTAGGCCTGGAAACAAATAATGTCATGCCGTCATTGAGATGACGACCCAAAGCGGGAAAGTCTCCAGGGTCCATGCTGTAAGCAGTGCCTAGTGGCGCGTGAAGATCAGCGTACAAAGTGGTCATCCACGGCTTCAATAAAGGAAATAATTGTAAGATCCATTGTATAAGCCCAATGACTCTGTGCAAAGCACGCTTATCCACGCGATCACGACTAATGAGATCACGAATACCCGAAGAAAGCTTGTCCAACTTGTCCTGCGGGACCTGAACACCCCCCATGCTGAAAGAAAGATTCCAACCAATCCACAGGACCTGTGGTCCAAGCTAAAGCTTCTTCCATGATATGGGGTATCCAAAGCACGCAAAAGCTAAGGACCAGGGTAAAAGTGATGTCCACGACCGACTTCTCGGTGTCATCACTGTACACAAGCAAAGCATGGCGAACGTACAAGAACATGTGCATCATGCGGATCAGAAAAGGAGGAAACTCTTTGAAAGTCTTCTTCACTTGGCAACAACTGTTTGTCCCGCAGACCGAACTGTCGACAACGAGTCTGGACTTTTTACCAGGCGAAGTAACAATGTTCAAGCGTCCAACCGCGAGACGATCCCTCCAGCGTTGCTGAGCTTCCAACGAAGGAACAGTCTCCAACCATCCCTTCTTCTGAAAGCAGTTCGCAAAGGGAGATCAGGATCGCTCTCTGCACCTGTCCATTGCCAAAGCAAAGCAAAAGCTCGCCATCAGATGAAGGTGAATGATGCTGAGTGAAAACAATGCAGGGATCATATGTGGCGACGCCTTGAGCGATCTGAATATATGGCAATCAGCGTCCTTGACCAGTTTTCCAAGCCCTCTGAAATATGCTTTCGCAGACGCTTGTGCAAACCATGCTTGAGAATAAAAGTAAGAAAATTGCGAAGCTGACCAAAGAAAGCCGATGCTTGCTTAGAACAGACCAATCAGGTCTGGAGGCCGTTCCTCCTCCTTCTTGCGAAGCAACAGGAAGGTCGTTTGGTTGCTTCACAGGTCGCAAATCAAGAAGGTCTTCCATGGAAAGCGAACGCGTAGAAGAAGATGCCTGGGTCCTGCGAGCCAACTCACAAGGAAGAACCGTGAGTGACGCATGGATCTCCAGCAAAAGAGATCGAACAGACGGCAGGGTCCAAAGACTTATCATGCATCAAAAGAATAACGTGGCCACCGTCCAGAAAAACAGAACTGGAACCAGTCGGAGCGCCCAGCGCAAGAAATGTTTCCCAGGACGCGCCTTGCGTGCAACATCCGGTGTGAACTGCACACCTCTGCTGACGCAAGACCTGTTGGTAAGTCGGCACCTTCGCCTCAGCCACGCTTCTGCTGAACGTTGGCGCGCTTGCACTTGTTTTGCACAGATTTGTTTTGGCATGGTAAGAGCGCTTTTCAAAACTGTTGACATGTTTTCGAAACTGTTTTGTCGTTTGGTCTGTCGGTTGGT